TTGTTACAGATGTGCACGACATTTTAGTGAATGTTAAGAGAACATTCCAAGAATACTAAAACGATAACAATAATATGCAAAAATATGCAACATGCTCAGATGATTCCGAAGGTGAAGAAGCCGGATGTGGAGGTCCTGGGCTGGAGTGGTTACATGTGGTCTGTGGTTGTGAGGCCGGTTGGACGTACTGCTAAATTCTCTAAAACAATGTTGGAGGCAGCTTATGGTAGAGAAATGAACATTACATTCTCTGGCAACAGCTCCGGTAGACATTCCTGCAGTCAGCATGTCAATTGCACCATCCCTAAAAACTTGAGACATCTGTGCCATTGTGTTGTGTGACAAAACTGCACATTTTAGAGTGGCCTTTTATTCTCCAGCAGGTGCAAGGTGCACCTGAGTAATGATCATGCTGTTTAATCAGCTTCTTGATGACCTCCACACCTGTCAAGTGAATGGATTATATTGTAAAAGGATAAATAGCTAACAGGGATGTAAACACATTTGGCACACCATTTTAGAGAAATAAGCTTTTTGTGAATATATGAAAAAATCCTGGGATCTTTTATTTCAGCTCATGAAATATGGGACCAACACTTTACATGTTACGTTTAAAGCCATTGGGAGAGGTTTAGGTCCAATTGCTTCTAGGCCAGACATGCAGATTTTGCAGATCATAACAGAACATTTTATCAAGTCATTTCTAATGCGATATAGCTACAGTACATTATTGCAGGGTGCCAAAAGGCACTTAATCCAGAGGGGACCTCAAAGTCAGACAGATAATGTTTTTGTCATGAATCTTGTTCTGGAGGAAGCTCTGCAGAGTGGTCATTAGCTGGCACAGCCACAAAGTCATACAATCTGATTTTAAACCTAACTTTAACCACACTGCTATCCTAATGCCTAATTCTAACTTTAAATTAAGACCAACAAGGTAATTTTTGTTTTCATGAATTTTGCCAATTTTGACTTTGCAGCTGGCCTATCTAAGGGGAAATTGCTCAGTTCTGCCTCCAGGACAAGACTCATGACAATAAATGTAAACCTGCAAGAATGGCACATACAGTGATGGGGAGGCCTCCTTCCTCTTGTTGAGTCCCTCTTAGTTTCGCTCCTCTATGGGTTTAGTTTGAGTGGCAGGCTCTCAGACGTTGAACAACCTTGCATCATACACCCCAGCACAGGTTGAAAAAACAACACAACATAAAAGCAACAGGGACTTATTCAAGTACAGACTTTTATTATGTGCAAACAATTTGATGTCATGCATTTAATTACGCTGCTTCCTGTTTAGTGTAAACTGACAGACGCACATGTGTGCATATGGAACCGCTGGAAGCGCTCCTGGTTGAACTGTGGCTGAACCTTGAATTACGGGAACGGAACGGGGGTTTGCCATGATGAAGACAAAAGGTACTGTAATGTATTGGATGCTGCTGTTGATTGTGGAAGAAGTTCATAACTATAATGTGAAAGAGAAAAGCTCATCGACCCCATACTTGATGTTGGCAGCAGTCTCCACATTCCAACCCAGGACCCAGATGTTCAACAGGCCTGCATGGTGCACCCTCTTAATAATAATATAATATGCCATTTAGCAGATGCTTTTATCCAAAGCGACTTACAGTCATGCGTGCATACATTTTTGTGTATGGGTGGTCCCGGGGATCGGACCCACTACCCTGCCGTTACAAGCGCCAGGGTAGTGCTCTACCAGCGCCGTGCTCTACCATCATCTTCTGAGGAGGAGCAATACAACACTACACTACTCTACCATTTCTTCTTATTCATTTATCCTTACTTTAAACAAGTAGATCCTAATGAGAAAAAAGAGCACTTGTACCAGGAAGACCTGTCCCACGAAGGCAGCAAATCATTCAACAATCAACAACTCCATAGCACAGTACCCACCCGACCTTGATGTTACTTGTATCCTTTAGCAATAGCGTCACTCACAGCATGATAATGAAACAAACAGTCAGAACAATATCAGACATGACACAGCCTTACATAATCCACAATTAAGGAGTGTGATCACAGTGATCTTCTCCAGTTGATCAGGCTCACTAATCCTTTTATAGGATGAAGTCACAAGCCTCTGTGGCTGTTTGACCTGGCTGCTATCCTCTCTCTCTCTGGGTCCTGCTGCTAAATGTGAGCCACAGGTCCAAAATAAATTATGGTTTATTGAAGCCTCCAATAGTTTTTTATTTTTATTTAGAGAGACAATTCCAAATCAAAAGTATTTCCTTACAAACATCAGATTGGAAGTATATTCTGTAAAAAAAAAATGTTTATTTTCTGAAATTGTATTCAGACCATTGCTCCATCCATTCTCACCCTTAACATTTTCCCAATTGCACTTCACAAATCTATCATATGTTACTTACCTGCCTTTTTTTACGGTAATTTGTATAATTACTGTATCATGAATTACCCCTAATTGCTGACGTGATGTGTGCAAAAACCTAAGGCACCGAGGAGTGAGCGTTCACCAGTCAAATAGTTAAATACTGTGAACTGTGACACACGGACACATTTCCTCTCGAGGTTAAAATACAGGTGTTCCTGTTATACCCTACACACTCCCATTGTAGCCGGATTAGCCTGTAGCAGAGACTGGCTTTCTCCTCTACACATCCAGTCGAATGTCTAAACCCTATCATCACCTTACTGCTACCTCCCACTGGAGCTTTCCTTCTGTGCAACCAGGTCCTCCTCCTGCCTGTGGTGCCCTAAGCATGTCACAACACAGTCCCACCAGACGGACTACATACTCTGCTCACCGCGACTACCACTGGTTGCATAGGTGTCGGCTGGGCAGAGTAGCCAAAATATCCTCTCTGTGTCTGTCTGGCCCCATGCTCACAGAAAACACATTGTTTCTGTCTATGATGTACCACAGCTGCAGAGCTTTACTGTAGCTGCAAGTCAAGCTATACAGTAGCCTACAGTAAGTGTTGCATATCTGAGATGCTTGTTATTTGTGTCAGGGTTTAGGGAGTGCAGTGTAAGTCTGTGGCCTGTAGCAGTGTTGAGAGAAAACATATGAAAAGTATTATGGGTGGGCTGAGAAAGAGAATTTAGAACCAAACAAAAAACATCTATAATATTACACAGATAACGTCTGGTTAGGCAGCAGCCCTATACCTAAACAGATGACCTAATGCATGTTACAGTTGAAGTCAGAAGTTTACATACACCTTAGCCAAATACGTTTAAACTCAGTTTTTCACAATTCCTGACATTTAATCCTAGTAAACATTCCCTGTCTTAGGTCAGTTATGATCACCACTTTATTTTAAGAATGTGAAATGTCAGAATAATAGTAGAGAGAGATTTATTTCAGCATTTATTTCTTTCATCACATTCCCAGCGGGTCAGAAGTTTGCTTACTATTGTTTGTACAGATGCACGTGGTACCTTCAGGCGTTTGGAAATTGCTCCCAAGGATGAACCAGACTTGTGGAGGTCTACAATATTTATTCTGAGGTCTTGGCTGATTTCTTTAGATTTTCCCATGATGTCAAGCAAAGAGGCACTGAGTTTGAAGGTAGGCCTTGAAATGCATCCACAGGTACACCTCCAATTGACTAAAATGATGTCAATTAGCCTATCAGAAGCTTCTAAAGCCATGCCATCATTTTCTGGAATGTTCCAAGTTGTATAAAGGCACAGTCAACTTAGTGTATGTAAACCTCTGACCCACTGGAATTGTGATACAGTGAACTATAAGTGAAATAATCTGCCTATAAACAATTGTTGGAAAAATTACTTGTGTCATGCACAAAGTCCTAACCGACTTGCCAAAATGATAGTTTGTTAACAAGACATTTGTGGAGTGGTTGAAAAACAAGTTTGACTCCAAACTAAGTGTATGTAAACTTCCGACTTCAACTGTATCTAAATGCTACATTTACTGTATGTTTAGACAGTAGGCTATACATGAATCACCATTATAGATCACCCGAGACTTCTGAGAATGAAATGACCTAACACAAATATTTACCTAGTTATATTAAACTGCCCTATCTCTCTGTTTATTGTGCGTAGGTTGTTTTTCAGTTTGCATTGGCACACTAATGGGAAAGGAGCGTTGTGTGCTTTGATTCATAGCACCAGCTGCAACGCTCTAGTTCACCCACACAAAACCCCACTGAGCTCAGCTGACATCACGTCATGACACAGGGCTGGGGACCCCCGGTCCAATGCATGATACTTCCGTTACCAAAAATGGACAGTGTTTGTGATGTGACATAACTGAAACTATAGCTTCGGGTGACTCTGATCGCAAGTGAAAATAAATGACCAAAACCACAGGGCCCCTTCCTCAGGACTTTGCTGTCTCACTCAGCAAATATGCCGCCAACCAAATGGGTCCCTCTTAACAAATAACCCACCATTTAGGAAGAGTATTTACAGACACACGTTCATTTGTTAATGGAATGTGTGAATAGAAACTGAAAAATACACTTTAACTTCCATGTAATTGCACAGCCCCTTTAATTGATGGGAATCCCAGGGATGTTTCGATATCCTGTGCATGCCACATCCTGATATTGAACCCCTTGACTCTGTGTGCCAGATCTTCACTCTTGTAGGAAGAGCAAGTAGACGCGAAAGGACTCCTGAAGCCTCTGCCGCACCTACGCCACAACACAGAGGAGAGGAGTGGCACAGTGAGTAATATGGAGGAAAGGGCAAATGTAAACGCATGGAGGGAGGGATTAGAGGCTACTAGCAAGTTGCCTCAGAATACAAATTACAGTGTTGCTGCCTGGCCTGCCGCCCACTCCCACTGTCTGATGCTCTCCACACTATGGGGGCAGGACTAATGGAGGCTTCTCACGCGACACTCAGGGGAAGTGATGGGGATTTATTTAGTTTACAGGTTACCACAGATGGAAAAGACACTATGTGTGTGTGTGAGACTGAGGGAGTGTGTGTGCCTGAGTGACGGCGTGAGTGTGCTCTTTTATGCTGCATCACAACATACCCATGGTTATTTTGTGCCTCTGCTGAAGGTTGTACACCGGGACCCAGGTGCTGTCCATGCCCTCCTCTGAATCTTCAGCCAGAATAAAAGCTGTTAAACAATCAACTTACTTTGCTTCATAATTGCTTGACTAATTAATTAGCTTCACTAATGGATAAAATAAATTGGGGAAGTGCTTGGTTGGCCAGACATACCACACCTTAAATAAGGACTGCCGCTGGGTGTGATAAATGAATTCCTACACCTCCACTTGACCCCTGGGTTTCTTTTTTTAGACAAGTGTTGACATCTCTGATGGATGACTCAAAGGTATAGTTTAACATAGCAGAGCAAGGCGAGGTTACTGTACACATTACTTAATTACAGGCATACAGGCGGGAGGAACTACCTCCTTTTTTGTAACACATATCTGTGACACCTGGGGCAATTGACTTCAAATATTTATTTACTTCTGCTTGTCTTTTATATAAAATTCCATATTGATGCTTAATAATTTGTAAACCACACAGATGTTTGTGGAAACAGGTTGTGACCCGATCTGAACACATACAGTTGAAGTCAGAAGTTTACATACACTTACATTGGAGTCTTTAAAACATGTTTTTCAACCACTCCACAAATTTCTTGTTAACAAACTATAGTTTTGGCAAGTCGGTTAGGACATCTACTTTGTGCATGACACAAGTAATTTTTCCAACAATTGTTTACAGACAGATTATTTCACTTATAATTCTCTGTATCACAATTCCAGTGGGTCAGAAGTTTACATACACTAAGTTGACTGTGCCTTTAAACAGCTGGGGAAATTCCAGAACATGATGTCATGGCTTTAGAAGCTTCTGATAGTCTAATTGACATAATTTGAGTCAATTGGAGGTGTACCTGTGGATGTATTTCATGGTCGACGTTCAAACTCAGTGCCTCTTTGCTTGACATCATGGGAAAATCAAAAGAAATCAGCCAAGACCTCAGAAAAATGATTGTAGACGTACACAAGTCTGGTTCGTCCTTGGGAGCAATTTCCAAACGCCTGAAGGTACCACGTTCATCAGTACAAACAATAGTACACAAGTATAAACACCATGGGACCACGCAGCCATTATACCGCTCAGGAAGGAGATGCGTTCTGTCTCCTAGAGATGAACGTACTTTGGTGCGAAAAGTGCAAATAAATCCCAGAACAACAGCAATGGACCTTGTGAAGATGCTGGAGGAAACAGGTACAAAAGTATGCATGTCCACAGTAAAGCGAGTCCTATATCGACATAATCTGAAAGGCCGCTCAGCAAGGAAGAAGCCACTGCTTCAAAACCACCATAAAAAAGCCAGACTACGGTTTGCAACTGCACATGGGGACAAAGATCGTACTTTTTGGAGAAATGTCCTCTGGTCTGATGAAACAAAAATAGAACTGTTTGACCATAATGGCCATCGTTATGTTTGGAGGAAAAAGGGGGTCTCTTGCAAGCCGAAGAACACCATCCCAACAGTGAAGCACGGGGGTGGCAGCATGATGCTGTGGGGGTGCTTTGCTGCAGAAGGGACTGGTGCACTTCACAAAATAGATGGCATCATGAGGAAGGAAAATGATGTGGATATATTGAAGCAACATCTCAAGACATCAGTCAGGAAGTTTAAGCTTGGTCGCAAATGGGTCTTCCAAATGGACAATGACCCCAAGCATACTTCCAAAGTTGTTGCAAAATGGCTCAAGGACAACAAAGTCAAGGTATTGGAGTGGACATCACAAAGCCCTGACCTCAATCTCATAGAAAATGTGTGGGCAGAACTGAAAAACCGTGTGTGAGCAAGGATGCCTACAAACCTGACTCAGCTACACCAGCTCTGTCAGGAGGAAAGGGCCTAAATTCATCCAACTTATTGTGGGAGACGTGTGGAAGGCTACCCGAAACGTTTGACCCAAGTTAAACAATTTAAATACAATGCTACCAAATACTAATTGAGTGTTTGTAAACTTTTGACCGACTGGGAATGTGATAAAAGAAATAAAAGCTTAAATAAATCATTCTCTCTACTATTATTCTGACATTTCACATTCTTAAAATAAAGTGGTGATCCTAACTGACCTAAAACAGGGCATTTTTACTTGGATTAAATGTCAGGAATTGTGAAAAACTAAGTTTAAATGTATTTGGCTAAGGTGTATGTAAACTTCCGACTTCAACTGTACCGTGACTGTGTCACAAAGGGCACATGTATTGAGATGTATGCTAAGGGTGGCACAGAAACTGAAACTGTGGAACCTTATAAAGCAGATTGACACAGGGAGTGGCAAAAGTAAATAAAATAGAATATAACTAGAGTATAATTATTTGCTAGAATATAACTATTTGCTGATAGCCTGCCCTACATGCATTTTAAAACATGACATCATAAGGAATAGTTGTTGACAGGAATGTATGAGGACAACCAATTTCCCCAAAATGATTTGGAAATACTGCACCATGGCATAGGCCTACTTAGAATAGTGGTCAAATCACATTTGACATTCACTTTCCAGAATGTAGCCAAGTATATATATCCCCCCTCAAAGAACATCAAGAGGAGTCGGCTTAAGAAATAAATACCACCATGTTATCTCATGGCAATTGGGCTGTCTGAAATGGCACCATATCCCTCATATAGTGAACTACTTATGACGCGCTGGTCGTATATATGAATAGGGTGCCATTTCGGACAGCATAGATGGAGATGAACCAGTGCCTAGTCTACCTTGGTGCCACTCTAGCCTGCTCTGTACAAACTGCTGGGTGACATGGAGCTGGCCGTCAGGGATGGTGAACCCTGCCCACGCCCTAACCCTCTCCTGGACAGCTGCCTCCGTCACAGAGGGGAGCATGTAGTCACAGAGATGCCCGTGTTGGGAACCAGGAAGAACACCCACTTGGCCAGGGGCTGGGAGCCCTTGAATACATTCGCTATAGAGACACACGCATGCATGCACACACACACAAACACGCAAAAATACGCATGGATATCTGCATGGTCACACACACATGCATGCAGACATATGCATACATGTTTCATATGCAAAGGTCAAAGATAATAGTACATCATTTTTTTACATGTTTTACAGGTGCTTCTGTCATATGTTCATGTGTGACGCTAGATGCTGGAGTGTACAATAATAACTACAGTGCCTGACCACCGCCATCTAGTGGTATAGCTGTAAACTAATTATTGAATTTCAAGGCCATTGAAGGCCTTCTACTACAATGGTAACTAGTCATCAGTTGTATCCTACCTGAGTTTTCATCATTTATCAGATGTTCAAATGGGTTTTGGGCACTGCTGCAGATATTCCTGATGATGTCCCTCTTGATGTACTGTGAGTGACATGGTATCAAGGTCATCAACAAAATCGTCATGGAGATGCAGCTCAAGTATTTGAAATACCGGGTGCCGTTATTATCGGTGCCTACAGATGCCTTACCAAGGTGGTGGTCTTGGCGGTGGTCCTTCCAGGGTTCATGTATGCTCTGCACTGCAGATTCCCCTTCAGTCTCAGGATACAGCTGCACACCTGCACTGATGCAGTGGATGGCCTCTCCCCCAGCTTTACCCATGCCTATAAGACAATTCAGAGAGAAAGAAGAGAGTAGCAACGTGCACCCATCAGAACCCCCATATGCAGCGAATTTGGGCCCCTTACACTGATCCAACACAATGGAAGAATTTAAGTACAAAAATCAGATTTTACAATATTTCTTATTTTTCTTAACATTCATATTCCCACTCATCGTTGGGATGAAGATCTGACCTTGGATCTTTACCCTTTGTGACTTTGACATTTTTCTCTAAAGAACATACAGGATAAAAACAGTTGTCATTCGAAAGGATAATCAGAAAAAATTGTTCCGAGATTTTTTTTTTAACAGTTGCACACCACACAAACCTTGCGTGAGTTGGAGGGTTCAAACGACCCAATGAGCATGCAGAATGCCTTCCAGAACTGGGACGAGAACTGAGGACCCCGGTCGGAGACCATGTCCACCGGAAGTCCACGGATCCGGAAGACGTGCTGCACCATGAGCTGGGCCGTCTCCTTGGCTGAGGGTAGCTTGGGGAGAGGGATGAAGTGGGCGGCTTTGGAAAACCGGTCCACCACGATAAGGATAACCTAGTTGCCATCAGACGGGGGGAAACCAGTGACGAAGTCCATGGATTTATGTGACCAGGGACGGTGAGGGACGGGAAGTGGTTGAAGGAGGCCAACCGGAGCATGCAGAGGAGTCTTATTCTGGGCACACGCGGTGCAGGCAGCGACGAACGCGGAGACGTCAGGAACCAAGGTGGGCCACCAAAACGTTGTCGTACAAAGGCCAGGGTCCGACGGGAACCAGGATGGCAGGCCAGTCAAGAGGAATGAGACCATTCCAGAACCGAGGAAAGGGCAGAGTCCGGGACAAACATCCGGTTAGCCGGGCCCCACCCGGACCTGGTTCTCTATACCCCAGATGAGTGCAGCCGCGAGACAAGAGGTAGGGAGGATGGTCTCGGGGTCTGATGGTGTAGCAGTGGGGCAATAGAGGCGTGACAGCGTATCCGGCTTCATATTCTTGGACCCTGGGTGGTAGGAGATGGTGAAGTTAAATCGGGTGAATATCAGGGCCCACCGAGCTTGCCTGGAGTGAGGCGCTTGGCGGTGCGGAGATATTCCAGGTTCTTGTGATCTGTCCATACTATAAATGGGTGTTCGACCCCCTCTAACTAGTGCCTCCACTCCTATAACGCTATCTTCACCGTCAGAAGTTCCTGGTTACCCACGTCGTAATTCCTTTCTGTGTGGTTGTGACGATGGGAGAGGAAAGCGCAAGGATGAAACTTTTGGTCTTGGGCCAAGCACTGGGACAGGACAGCCCCCACTCTGACGTCCGAGGCATTGACCTCCACCACGAACTGCCAGGACGGATCCGGATGGATTAGTGTGGGGGCGGTAGTGAATTGGTGTTTGAGGTCCAAGAACATCTGGTCTGCAGCTGGAGACCAAGTAAACGGGACCTTGGGAGTGAGTGCAGACAGGGGGGAAGCCCGGGTGCTGTAGCCAGGGATGAACCGGCGGTAGTAATTGGCGAACCCCAGGAAGCGTTGCAGCTGCACTCTGGAGGTGGGTTGCGGCCAATCCACCACCGCTCTCACCTTTTCAGGATCCATCTGTATGTTGCCTGCAGCTATGATGTACCCCAGGAAGGAGATGGTGGAGCGATGGAATTCACATTTTTCTGTTTTGACGAACAGCTGGTTCTCCAGAAGACGCTGGAGGACTTGTCTGACATGGAAGACAAGTTCCTGAACCGAGTGGGAAATCACGAGGATGTCATCAAGGTAGATGAATATGAACTGGCTCAACATGTCCCGGAGAACGTCGTTTACCAGGGCCTGGAATACAGCAGGGGCGTTGGTCAGTCCGAACGGCATCACCAGGTATTCGTAGTGCCCGCTAGCTGTGTTAAAGGCGATCTTCCACTCGTCCCCTTCCCGGATCCGTACCAGATTGTAGGCGTTCCGGAGGTCCAACTTGGAGAAGATGGTAGCCCCGATGCGATGAGTGGAAGCGGGTAACGGTTTTTAATTGTGATGTCATTCAGGCCCTGTAGTCGATACACGGATGGCGGGGGAGGCAGAAGGACGGATACCCCCTGCAGCCAGGAAGTCCTCAATATACGTCTCCATCGCCTTGGTCTCTGGACCTGACAGGGAATAAAGTCGCCCCTGAGGTGGTGTAGTGCCCAGGAGAAGGTCGATGGCGCAGTCATAGGGCCTATGCTGAGGAAGCGCGGTGGCACGGGCCTTGCTGAAAACCTCCCGGAGCTCCTGGTACTCCGCAGGAACGGCGGAGAGGTCCGGGGCTTTTCCTAAGCCTGCAGGAAGACGTCCCGGGGCAGGCAGAGCCAATTTCAGGCAATGCCCATGGCAAAACAGGCTCCAACCCAGGATAGAACCAGTAGCCTTGTCAATCAGGAGATTGTGCCTCTGGAGCCAGGAAAAGCCCAAAACCACGGGTGCATGAGGGGATTCTTCTTGAGCCACTCCTTTGTTGCCTTGGCCGTGTGTTTTGGGTCATTGTCATGCTGGAATACCCATCCACGACCCATTTTCAATGCTCTGGCTGAGGGAAGGAGGTTCTCACCCAAGATTTGACGGTACATGGCCCCGTCCATTGTCCCTTTGATGCGGTGAAGTTGTCCTGTCCCCTTAGCAGAAAAATAACCCCAAAGCATAATATTTCCACCTCCATGTTTGACGGTGGGGATGGTGTTCTTGGGGTCATAGGCAGCATTCCTCCTCCTCCAAACACGGCGAGTTGAGTTGATGCCAAAGAGCTCGATTTTAGTCTCATCTGACCACAACACTTTCACCCAGTTCTCCTCTGAATCATTCAGATGTTCATAGGCAAACTTCATACGGGCCTGTATATGTGCTCTCTTGAGCAGGGGGACCTTGCGGGCGCTGCAGGATTTCAGTCCTTCACGACATAGTGTGTTACCAATTGTTTTCTTGGTGACTATGGTCCCAGATGCCTTGAGATCATTGACAAGATCCTCCCGTGTACTTCTGGGCTGATTGCTCACCGTTCTCATTATCATTGCAACTCCACGAGGTGAGATCTTGCATGGAGCCCCAGGCCGAGGGAGATTGACAGTTCTTTTGTGTTTCTTCCATTTGCGAATAATCGCACCAACTGTTGTCACCTTCTCAACAAGCTGTTTGGCGATGGTCTTGTAGCCCATTCCAGCCTTTTGTAGGTCTACAATCTTGTCCCTGACATCCTTGGAGAGCTCTTTGGTCTTGGCCATGGTGGAGAGTTTCGAATCTGATTGATTGATTGCTTCTGTGAATAGGTGTCTTTTATACAGGTAACAAACTGAGATTAGGAGCACTCCCTTTAAGAGTGTGCTCCTAATCTCAGCTCGTTACCTGTATAAAAGACACCTGGGAGCCAGAAATCTTTCTGATTGAGAGGGGGTCAAATACTTTTCCTCATTAAAATGCAAATCAATTTATAACATTTTTGACATGCGTTTTTCTGGATTTTTTGTTGTTATTCTGTCTCTCATTGTTCAAATAAAACTACCATTAAAATTATAACCTGATCATTTCTTTGTCAGTGGGCAAACGTACAAAATCAGCAGGGGATCAAATACTTTTTTCCCTCACTGTACATTTAGTTTATATTCTTTCAATTTTTTTGTCTATTTTTTTCGAATTATTTATTTCAGCTTTTATTTCTTTCATCACATTCCCAGTGGGTCAAAATTTTACATACACTCAATTAGTATTTGGTAGCATTGTATTTAAATTGTTTAACTTGGGTCAAACGTTTCGGGTAGCCTTCCACAAGCTTCTCACAATAAGTTGGGTGAATTTTGGCCCATTCCTCCTGACAGAGCTGGTGTAGTAACTAAGTCAGGTTTGTAGGCCTTGCTCGCACACGCCTTTTCCACAAATTCTCTATAGGATTGAGGTCAGGGCTTTGGATGGCCACTCCAATACCTTGACTTTATTGTCCTTAAGCCATTTTGCCACAACTTTGGAAGTATGCTTGTGGTCATTGTCCATTTGGAAGACCCATTTGCGACCAAGCTTTAACTTCCTGACTGATGTCTGGAGATGTTGCTTCAATATATCCACATACTTTTCCTTCCTCATGATGCCATCTATTTTGTGAAGTACACCAGTCCCTCCTGCAGCAAAGCACCCCCACAACATGATGCTGCCACCCCCGTGCTTCACGGTTGGGATGGTGTTCTTCGGCTTGCAAGCAACCCCCTTTTTCCTCCAAACACAACGATGGTCATTATGGCCAAACAGTTCTATTTTTGTTTCATCAGACCAGAGGACATTTCTCCAAAAAGTAAGATGTTTGTCCCCATGTGCAGTTGCAAACCGTAGTCTGGCTTTTTTATGGCGGTTTTGGAGCAGTGTCTTCTTCCTTGCTGAGCGGCCTTTCAGGTTATGTCGATATACAGTGAGGGAAAAAAAATATTTGATCCCCTGCTGATTTTGTACGGTTGCCGACTGACAAAGAAATTGTCAGTCTATCATTTTAATGGTAGGTTTATTTGAACAGTGAGAGACAGAATAACAACAACAAAAAATCCAGAAAAACGTATGTCAAAATCGTTATAAATTGATTTGCATTTTAATGAGGGAAATAAGTATTTGACCCCCTCTCAATCAGAAAGAGTTCTGGCTCCCAGTTGTCTTTTATACAGGTAACAAGCTGAGATTAGGAGCACACTCTTGAAGGGAGTGCTCCTAATCTCAGTTTGTTACCTGTATAAAAGACACCTGTCCACAGAAGCAATCAATCAATCAGATTCCAAACTCTCCACCATGGCCAAGACCAATGAGCTCTCCAAGGATGTCAGGGACAAGATTGTAGACCTACACAAGGCTGGAATGGGCTACAAGACCATTGCCAAGCAGCTTGGTGAGAAGGTGACAACAGTTGGTGCGATTATTCGCTAATTGAAGAAACACAAAATAACTGTCAATCTCCCTAGGCCTGGGGCTCCATGCAAGATCTCACCTCGTGGAGTTGCAATGATCATGATCATGATCTCA